TTTATGATCCAACAGTTCGTAGGTTATGCTAAAGGTTTAGATGGTTTACATGTAGATGAGGTTCGTAGCATTAAAGAGATTATACGAAATTGGTTTTGAGAAGTTGTTTTGAGAGAGACTAAGGCAAGTTAGCGAGTCGAGGCGACCGAGTTCCGATGGGATGTAGCCAGTTAACCTTTTGTTAGGAATAAATATTGAGGTGACTCGTTTGCGAGTGCAACTGTGCAAGCAATTCCCGGTGAGTGGCATGGAGTTGAATTAAACTCAGACCAACTGTCGAGGGACCGAGTTGGATCAAATTCCATGGCTGCCTTGAGATCCAGAAGAGAGAGACCATCAGAATTGAGAGACGAAACCAGTAAAGCAAAGAGAAACATAAAAGAAACAACTTTTGGAAGTGAAAGTATCATCCTTTTTTACTTCTGATTTTGCTAATGCCATTCCTTCTAAAGCCTTCATTTGTTCTTTATCGAAAATATGGGTTTCATGCAAATAGAAGTTGCAGAAGAAGAGACGAGAAAGAGCACTTCTTTGATGTGTTTGAAAGTGGGAAAGACAGTGAACTCAACATGAACGTGGCTGGTTTTTCTTATAGAAATTTTTTGAAATTCTTTCAACATTGATTTTCAAAATATTATTAGTTTATTGAACATTACTCGCATTTCTATAGTTATCATCAAAGAAGAAGAAACAAGTTTTATTGTTCTGAAGAATAAGAAGAAGAAGAAGACCTCACATGTGGGTTTTTTTATAATTTATATTTTTTATAATTATCAACTCACCCACACATAGGTTTTTATTTTATTTTATTATTTTTTAGTTGCTAACTTAATATTCTGTTAATAGGCTAACGAAAGTTAACGATTAAAATATTTTAATCGAACGAACTAATAACGTTAAAAATCAAATATATTTAATTAAAAAATTAATTCTCAAAATCGATTAGATAAAAAAACAAAGACAACTATTCTTAGTTTACCCTATATAAACTTTAGAAAACGCGTTTTCGTTGCTTTGAAAAGTAAGAGATTGAAAAATGGAAAGGAACACACCAAACCGACAAACGTACGCAAACCGGTAACAGTCGAGAAGTGGAGAACCTGTAACACGCGCTGGAACGCGAATTAGCGTTGGGCGGAGTGGATATGATCTGTCAAACAGTGTACTTACTGGTCAGGTAGGAAAAGAGGTGATGCAGCGCTGTAATGTAGTGGAAAAGTTTAGCCAAATGCAAAGGGCAAAAGAATTAATTAATTTAATTCATAGTTGAAAGAATCAGGTGACATGCTTTAATTTAAAAATTGAATTATTTATATTCTTTCGATTAGACTCGTGCATTTACTAAAAAATATTTTATTTTATTTTAAATTTAATTATTTTAATTTTTAAAATTAATTGAAATTGAATTTTTAATTAATTAATAAATTTAAATAGATCATATATATTACTAAATTTTCTGTTTCTTTATTCATAGTATTTATTGATGGAAACAAGTTTAACTCGTCGACTATTGATGTTTCTCCTTTTCTAATTTGGGCATACAGTCGCTATTGATGAGGGAACATATGTTAATCGGTGTTTATGTATTAAAAATGAACGATCATGAGAAAGAAAGAAAAAAAGGAAAAAAAAGGAGAATAATAATTGTTAAAGGTGACAAACCCTTTTTCAATTGTCCATAAGGATATTTATAATTTCCTTTAATGCGTGAGTTTAATCGTAGGGTTATTAAGACTATTAGTAGGCGAGTAAACTAAAAATAACTGTTAGTTTAAATTCTACTATGAAATATCACATAGATCTATCAAAGAATTGTTTGTTAGAGATTTTGTTTACGTGTTATAGTCAACTAGAAGTCTAGATTTTGAGTGAAATTTATATAAAAAAAATTATTTAAGAAGAAAGATGAATGAAACATGAACATTTTGATACAAATCTTACTATGAAAGACGATTAATTATGAAAATATATCTTTTAATACACTCATGATGTTCAGTGCATAAAACGACATTGTTTTAGGCACCGATAGATGCACAAAAATGTCATTTTATCTAAGTCATCATAATGACAAAAAATCTATTAATATTATTGTTTCGTTAAAATTTAACTACTTGGTAATATAATTAAAGTGAAAACTAAAATTTAATACTATAATTAAATAAAATATTAATATATACACCATTTAAAAATTTAATGATATATGTACAGTTTACTGATTACTAGGGCTTTCGTCAGCATAGGTGAAAAACAATATGAAAGGAAAGCCCTGCCGAATGGTGCGATTAGATTAAAAGCCGAAGAACAAGGGCAAACTTAGGTGGGGGGAACAACGGCTGCCGAAGAGGGAAACGGAGAGAGAGCTACAGGAAATTTCTGGAAATGGGGTGCTAGAAAAGATTCTTTCTCTTCTCGCTTGATTTATAAATACGCTGAGAGATTAAATCAAATCTTTCCTAAGCCTCCCATTCCACTGATTTCCGTTTCTTCCTCTCCATTTTCTTTCTTCCTTTTCTTCTCCAATTGTTCCATTTAATGCACGCAATCGGTAAGTTAAATCGCTAGATCTTATCTTACTTTACATCCTTTTATATTTAAATAGATCTGTTTTTTTCCTGTGGTCTTTAATGTAAATATATGTCACCTTCCATGGATTTACTGAGTTCAATTGATAGATCTTTATTGTCACACTGAGATGACATCGCAGATGTATTTACCCTTGAATCGAGTTTTGACCTCTTTTGAAAATTAATTAATTCATGATTCTTGTTTGAAGAGGATCTGCTGAAATCCTTGTTTTTGGTCTAACTATGTTATTGAATTGATTAGTTTTTATACCATATCTGAAATTTTAAGCTAAATAATATATATTAACATGCATATCTCTTGCGGTGCTCGAAGATCTGGATCTATTGTTGCTTCTGATTATTGAACATTGAATCTTTTACCCAGATTTGGGATTAGACTCATCTTTCCCGGGCGGAAGATGCGTATTTATCCGAATATTAACATTTAAAAACAATTTTTAAAATTACAGATTGGATGCAAGCTTTCAATTCATATCTAAAATAGAATGCCCATTCAAATTGGAAAAAAAAAGATTTGTAAAACCCATACCTTTAATTTTATTTTTTAATTGATTACTAATTTGATATTTTAAAATTTTTCTTAAATATACTAATGATCTAAATTAATATTGTATCTGTATAAAAGAAAATTACGCTAATGTGTTGAAATGATACTGTCTAAATATGTAATTAGACTAATATTCAGTAAATTAATATTATTTTAAATATTGACATAGATAGACTAATTTATCTAAATATATAATTTTTAAATATTGAATTTCAAAATAATATAGCTTAATAAAAAATAGATGCTCGAACTAAGTTAACCTTAGGTGTTTTAGGATTATTTTTAAGTATTTAAAAAATCAAAATATATAATGCTCAGAATATTTCATATTATTCAATATATTTATAGGTCTCGTTTAATACGTGTTATTTTATAATTAAACCTTTAAAAGATGATTTTGATATAAGTGCTCAAAGTATATCATATTTTTTAAAATGTGTCTTATTTTTTTATTTATTCATGTGTCTAACGTTAGAAACTTATCATTTTGGGTGTCTAAACCGTTAAATTACACTGTTAAGTGATACATGTCATGTTTCGGTAATTTTAAATTTTTATTTAAAATTAAAATAAAAAATTATATATTTTAAAATCCAAAAAAATTGAAAAACTTTAAAAAAAATCTCAAAACTTCAAAAACTCTAATTTCAATCTCTCGAAATCCATGTCGAGCGTCGTCGTTTGACTTCGATCGAACATTCACCCTACGACAAGCTAAGCTTGAGGATGATGTCGAATCTTTAATGAAGTAAACAACAAAATCATGACATCCAAAATTGCATCTCTGACGAACTCAAATTCCCAAATTCGCGACACCTATATGATTCAATGACGAGCACGATAGCAAGTGAGATGATTGCTGATAAGGGAGATGAAAAGGGCGTTGTTAGCGATCGTGGTCGTTAAGGGAGATTAGGGTTAGAAATTTGGGATTTTTAAGGATCTGGGTTTTTGTTGTTGTAATTTTAGTAAAAATATGTTTTTTATAAATATAATAATTTTTAAAAAATACCCTAATGTGATACGTGTTACTTAAGAATTTTTTTAATGATTGTTACGATCTGAACACCTTAAATGGTAACGTTAGGCAAATAAATTAATCAAAAAAAAATTAAACACATTTAAAAAAATATAGTTTGAACATTTATTTTCTAATTAAACCCTTTTTAAAAGATATGTTTAATGTAATGTGTCACAAAGAAATGCGAGATGGTGTATCATGTCTGATACCAAATCCATCGGTACATGTTGGGCGTTAGAATCGGAACTTTAAGTAGTGTTTGAGGGATTATGATATGCCTGGAATCTTGGATACCAACATAGTGGTGGGGCTGAACAATGTCACTGCCGCGTAAACAAGGGAATGTTATTAGATCTTCAACTTTGATGCAACACGTTTGGTGACTGATTTCTCGATAATGGATGGTGAATGTGGTTCGAAAAGACAATTGGGTAACAGATGGATTGACTAGATTGGGCCAAAATAATGCCCCTCTTGACAGTATGGTGCTCTACTCTCCTCCAAGCAAATTGCTTCGTTTCTCCAGGAGGATTGTGCTAGTGTGACTAACAGTTATTAAAAAAAATAAGTATAGTTTTTCTATTTGTTCTTTAAAAAAAATATATTTGAGTAAAGTACTCGAAAAATGAAAATGATGAAAAAGCTTATAATTATTGTTAATTAAGAGAAGAAATAAATATTTAAAATGACTTGGTCATCATTAAAGATGGTGTGAATTGTCCTTGTCGCCAAAGCTTTTATTATAATTTTAAAATGCCGTGGTTCCTTCTTCTCACTTTCCTTGGCTTTTTCCATGCGGTTTCCTGGAAACAAAGAAGAAAAGCCATTCCCTCAGCCACAAGTTTTCTTAATCTCTCCCTATATATGAAGACTGCCCAAACCCTCGCAAGGCATCATCTGGAGTGAAAAGGAGAGGAAGAGAGTGGCGTTGGGAGTAATAGGTATGGGGGGAGTGGGCAGTGTTGAATCTTTCTGCCCATTTGTGAGCAGCACAATTAACTCTTCCCAGCACCTCCCATACCCTTCATTTCCAACCCTTGCTCCCCTTCTCCCGCTCTCCTAATCTTAGCCCTGCTCAGGTTTGATTTTCATTTCACTATTTTCTTATTTACATCTTATACTTAAATCAGTAATTTCATAATCAAAATTTATTTAATTATAGATAACATTTTTATATAATGAGATTTAAGATTCTTGGGTCTTTGTTGGAACTTGTACACACAGGATGTAAACAACTTCAAGGTGGTTTCGTTAAGGGTAATTCAACTCATTTTTCGACCTTGTGGGAAGCCATTGAGATGACCTTGCACGTCCTTAGAATATCAAAACCAAACAAGTTCCTGGTACCGAATTTGGCGTAAACTTGAAAAGTATTTCCACTCGAACAAGTTCTTGACAAACATTTCTACCTTTCCGTTTTTCTGTAAAATCAGTGTTATGTAACATCGTATGAGTGATTCATGTATCAATCCCATTATTGACAGTGCGGTATATGAAAATAACATGATCTTCTAAAATTAGGAAATGGCGAGACAAATATGGCTTGCGCTTGTCTTTCGAGGTAGACTCGATAGGAACTAGGTTGTGGGTGGAGCTATGGCCGAAGCCATTGCATTTCATGCTCTGCCCCCCTCCCCCAAGATTAGTTCCATCTCTTACCACTGTTGGTGTTCGATGGCTGCCACCATCCTTAACCTGAATACTGATGGCTCGACACTGGTGCGGAAGCAGTTCTCAGAAACTGCAATGGTGACTACTGGATATGCGGGGTACCTATCGACACATCCCTCATGCTTGCATGCTGCAAGCGTTCCAGCAAAGTTAAGGGCCTTTTGAGATGACCTCCACGTTGCTAAGATGAAAATATCAGAAAGATTATAGTTGAATTGGATGGTACTGCAGTTATGTCTCTGATTTCTAATAATGATATTCCTAATCCCTTGCTGTTTACACCCATTACTGACAGCAGGCTTCTCTAGGAGCAGTTTGAGCATACCTTTACGGAGGGCAACAGATACGCTGATGCGCTTGCAAATATTGGCAGCAAAGCTCAAGTCCCTCAACTTCGGACCACTTCTATAACTCTAATATGCAGTATATTTTTTTAACAGCCACCAAACTGGATCACTCTTGCATGCCAATGCCGCCAGCATTCATTTGTAACTTGACAGTATCAGTCCTTAATTCTTATCTAACTTCCATTTCAGATAAAAAGAAAATGGCAACACCAAGATACACAATGTTGCTTTTAAAGCCACTACTGAAGTAGATGACCTAAGAGTTCCTTCTAAAAATATGATTTGACAGTAATACTGCCAAAATTCCATAAAAAGGGCTTGTCATTTGATCGGTTTGATGATGTAAAGCTAAAGATGCTTTTATTTATTTATCTCTATGTATGGCATTGACCTAAACAATGTAAGACCAGCTTCTCCCATCCAATATAAAGTCCGTATGAAGAATCGAACTGTAGACCAACATGATAATCTTAAGCTCTAACTCACAGTGTAGTTAATGACGGATGAATCAGACCGTAGACCTTTCACCTTAAAAGGGAAACGAAAAAGACACTTAGGCACCCATGCCTGTGCTTAATCAAATGCAACTCGGCCAAAAATAGCCAAAGCATCGACAATACTTCTAATCACTAAGGTTCCCTTTTAGGGACAGGATCTTGCAATAGATGGCTAGAAATATCAAATATGATAGCAGATATAAACGAAATTTGAAGCAGAAGACGACCAACCTGCAATTAGAATTGAAGAATCCTGTTGAAACAAAACCACCAACTCCAAAAAATCTAAAACAATATAAATCCCAAATAACATGATCCAGAGCTGTGAAAAGCACCAAAAAATATAAAATAAAATACAATAAAGAACCTTAAATTAACAAGGCTGAAAGTAAAACCAACTTGTTTCCATGCAACCTATTAACAGACACTCACCAGGGTCATGGTTTCCTAGAATACTGTTGTAAAGGGTCATTCCATTTAAATTGGAATGCTATGGTAGTCAGCACATCATGAGTGTAAACCAGAATTCAGTAGAGGGGATACCTTGGTGGCCTCGGTGGCAATGTCCCGGATTGGCGGATTGACCATCGGACCATTAAAAGGGCTCCACTACAGAGTCTCGGGTCACCAATGAATGCAAATAGAAACAAGACGCACTGCATGAATGGTTATGAAAAGTGACAACTAATTTAAATAAAAATTGCTGCCTTAAACTATCAAACAATGTGAGTCATAACATAAAAGTTTGTTAGAAACTTCTTATTAATGATTTCGAATTACAACCAATAGAATTTTTTTTTGGGTTGTGGGGTGCGGGGAGGGACTATCAAAATTTGACAATGACCACTAAAATATTACAAAAGGGGGCCCCCACACCATCTCCGATCACCCTTTTCTCATTTCTCAAAAATGTTGAAAGAATGAATAAATACATTTTATCAGAGATTTTACTTGAAACAACTTGATATAGTACTAAATTTCATCTGTATACCTGTTGTCGACTTTGTGTGCAATATTAGATCCAAAGACTGGTCCCAATCATTCCCAATAAGAGGATAACAAGGAGATATGTATACTCAGCCAACCGACAAGATGTAGCTCTGCTCCATAATCTACCTATAAAAGGCATAAGTTAAATTGTTAAATTAATACTAACTCAGCAACTATACATGGAGCATATCATATGCTGTAATCCCTCTCTCTTCCAGTTGCACTAATAATAATAATAATAACAATGAGGGAGAAGCAGACGAAGCTTACCGTCGAATGGTATTTAGATTGAAGTTGCTTTAAATTGAATGTGACAATTCTCCAAAGCCAAGTATGTGTCAATCTCACCATCTACATGGGGAATCCAAAACTCTCTTAAAGGCTATATCAAGTCTTAGAACTGCAAGATTCTGTACATTCTATAATTAAACTCTCTAGGTGACGAACTGCATGCAAATTACAATCCTTGTCAAGTTGCTTCAAGAGTGCACTGTGTGTACAAGAATCAGGCAGAATTTTTCTGTCTAGCATTTCTTGGTACAATCTCAAGGACTCTTGCCAATTCCCAATGTTGCAGTTCTCATTTATTAATATGGTGTAGCTATACTTGTTAGGAAGTATCCCTTTAGCTTCCATCTCAGCAAAAAATTTGTAAGCCTGACGTATTCTCCTTACTTTGCAAAGGCCGTTTATCATAGCATTGTAGGTTATAACATTTAGCAGAACACCTTTCTCCTGCATCTCTGAGAAATACATAAATGCCAATGCTAAAATCCCCTTAGCTGCATGTCCATGAATTACGACAGTGTAAGTGACCACTGATGGGGATAAGCCTTTGCTCAGCATCCCATGGAACATTTCTCTAGCTTTCTTCAGAGTCCACTTTCTAGGTAAGCATGAATGATGATTAATGTATGTTACATGATCTGGATTAAGACCGATGCTAATCATTTTGTGCAACAAATTAAGGGCTTCTTTGAGATCACGCAATTTGGAATGCCAATGTACAAAAACATTATAGCCGATCAAATCAGGAGGTAATTCCTTTGCTACCATTTGTTCTTCGATACTAAATGCTCTTGCAGGATCACCAAGCTTCAACTCATCTATTATTTGAGTTGTATATGCAAAACGATCAGGCTCCAAACCATTATGCAACATTTCAACGAAAAGATCCCTTGCTGTAGATAGATTGCTCAGCTTGTAGGATCCATTTACCAAAATTGTATACGTAAAAAAGTCGGGGGAAATTCCTTTACTGATCATGGTATCCTTTAGATACCGAGCAAGTTCCAGGTTCCCCACTCTACATAGACCATCAATGAGAGTATTATATGTAACAACAGTAGGAACAAGGCCTCGGCATCTTAACTCATCGAACAAGAGAAAAGCCTCCTGAATGTTTCCTATCTTACAATACCCATATATTAGAGTATTGTATGAAACAGCATCTGGTATCATATTCCGCTTCCGCATATCATCGAACTGCCATCTGGCATCATCCATTCTCCCCCACCTGCAAAGGCCATACATGAATGTATTATATGTTGTCACTGTATGATCAACTCCTCTGTTTACCATCTCTTCCCTAAGGCTTAAGGCCTCAACAAGCAAACCTTTCTTAAAATGCCCACAAATCAAAGGATTATATGTGTATGCAGAAACTTTAAGCCCCAATTTCAACATATCCCTAATAAGTCCCTCGGCTTGCTCTAATTTATAATTCTTTGTTAAACCATTAATTAAAACATTATATGTCACCTCATTTGGAAAACACCGTTCCATCTGCATTTCCGATAAGAGCTCAATCGCTTTTTGCACGTCCCCTTCCTTGCAAAGGGAATCCAACATGGTATTAAAGGTAACGATAGTTGGTCTAATCCCAAGTTCCTTCATCATCCAATACACATCGCTTGCCTTAGCTACAAGAGATTTATCCCTAAGCATAACAAGAACGCTAGTACAGTTCTTCACATTCGGCCGCAACCCCTTTCGAACCATCTTACCAAATATCCACAAACAATGATCAACCATCAATTTCTTGGAATAAATCAACTTAATTGAAACCTCAAATTTCAGGTATCCACAAATCAACACATCGGAAATACTATTCATACCAAACGTAATGACCCTTTCCATGACCCAATAAGCTGATCTCATCAAATTATCCTCAACCAAAATATCAAGTGTCGTAACCGGTTTTCGTCCGGGCACGACCTATTAAATTTGGCGGGGAAATTGATGTTAATAAATAATTTTGAAAATAATTTGGGAGTCGCCATCGGCCTTTTGGGTCAGGTAGGTCGAATACCTAAAAAATATTTTTTTAAAAGAGTTTTAAGAAAACGTCAATTAAAAAATGAACTGATCTGCGTTTATAACCAAAAATTCGTTCTTTTTAATAATAAAAAGGGATTCGTGGTCGGTTACGTTTAGGGAAGGATTAGCACCCCTACAACGCCCAAAATTGGTACTTTTTAATTATAAATTGTCTCTATTATTAAAATTTAAAAATTCAAAAATATATTTAATTTATAATCCTATTATTTCAAAATTATATAAAAAATATTTATTTATTTAAAAATATCTGAAAAGAATTTCTAGGTGCCTTAAGACAGCTCTTTTCTTTGATATTGATAAATATTAATTTTAATAATATTGTTTACTTTTTAATTTTAAAATATCAGAATAGGACATCCAGTTGTATTAAGACTGACCTTTTTCTTCGATATTAAAAATAAATATTTAAAAAAATACTATTTATTATATATTTATAAAAATATTTAATATTTAATAATATAATAAAAATACAAATATTACTAAAACAATATATTTAAAAACAATAAAATAAATGAAAACATATAAAATAACTAAAAAATAAAATTAAAAATCTAATTCATAATTAATCTAAATTATAGGGATTAAATATGTTATTTCTTTATTTGGTGACTAAAATAAAATTATCTAAAATTTGGATATTAGAATCAAATAAATTAAAAATATAAACTAAGGATTAAAATATTATTTATTAAAATTAATGGATTAAATATGTAATTTATCCTAAATATATTATTTTAATATGAAGGACTAAAATAAATAAAATTAAAATTCGAAGACTAAATTAAAAATATTATAAATTCAATTTAGTGACTAAAATGTAAAATTTACAAATACGAAGGACTGCGGACGGGGTTTAACTATTTCATAATTACGCGCATAGTCCTTCCCGAAACGACGTCGTTCGGGAAGGACTATAAGAGTCCAAATCGGCTGGCCCGAAGGGCCAACCATTTCATTCCTCATTTCCTTCTCTCTCTCTAAACCGAGAGAGTTTAAAAACTCTCTCGCCTCTCTCTAACTTCCCTCACCGGAGGGAAGCCGGTCACCGGTCGGCCACCGTGTACCGCCGTGATTATCACCGCCGGCCACCGTATCCGGTGGCCGGAAAATTGTATTTTGACACCATTAAATAGATCGGGACGTCTTAAGGACGTTTCCGGTGTTCTTTTTCCTTAAGAAGCTCCCAATCGGAGCAAATCTACAAATATACCTTCGGTTTTTGTTGGTTCTGACGAGATCCGGTGGTCGAGGCTTCCTCGGTAAGTCTCCTCTTCCTTTTTCTTTTTTTTTTCCTGGTTTTCTTGCTGCTGAGATCGTTGGTAATAGTTTGGATTTTCTCTGTTTTTTTTTCTATGTCTCTTTCTCGTCTTTTTTTTTTGTCTCTCTGTCTCGTTGTATATCTCTGTCTTCTTTTTCTTTTTTTTTTTCTTTTTTCTTCGCAGATGGGGTGGTGGCTTTTATAGCCACCACCGGTGTTCGTCTCAGACCGGTCCGAAGAGGGGGCCTCGGTGAGTCACCGGACTACCAGTGGTGACTCACCCCGTAGCCTTGCATGGACGGCTGGTATATGATCTTCTGGAGTCTTCGGTTGGGACGTGGCAGCGGCGGAGGCGGCGAGGGCTGTCGGCAGCCGCGTGGAAGCTGGAGCAGCGCTGCGTGGCCCTAGGGTATCAAACCCTAGGGTTTCTCTCTGGAACCATCTGGACCGTTGGATCTTGCCAGATCCAACGGCTGTGAGCTGAGGCGGCTGATTAATTAGGGTTAGGAAACCCTAACTGGAAACCTAAACATTTAGGGTTTCTAGTTAGTTTTGGACCGGTTCTGGTTGGTTTGTAACTGGACCGGTCCAGTTGTAATTGGGCCTGTAAATATTATTATGTATTTAATATATTTAATATAAATTAATAATAATAATAATAATAATAATAATAATAATAATAATAATAATAATAATAATAATATGGATAAAAAATTAATATCTTCAGCTGCCCCTCTTTGCTCATTATTGTGTTAACAAGAATAGGGCAAAGATGAAAAGATAATAAAATTTTTTATCCATTTGGCTTCACTTGATTATAATGGAGATATTTGAATAAATTCTTCTCTTTCTTCAGATGAGTTCTTCTCATTATGAACTTTCTGCTGGGGATGATGATCCATCAAATGATGAATTCAAGCAAAAGATTGAACAAGTTCTTCTCATTATGAACTTCTTCTTCTTTCTTCAGATGACGAGTTCTTCTCATTATGAACCTTCTCTGGCAAAAATAATCCATCAAGTGATGAATTCAGAAAAAGATTGAACAAGTTCTTCTCATTATGAACTTCTTCTTCCTTCTTCAGATGAGTTCTTCTCATTATGAACCTTCTCTGGAAAAGCTGATCCATCAAGTGATGGATTTGAGCTAAAGATTGAACAAGTTCTTCTCATTATGAACTTCTTCTTCTTTCTTCAGATGACGAGTTCTTCTCATTATGAACTCTACCTGGCAAAGTTGATCCATCAAATGATGAATTTAAGCAAAAAGGTTGAACAAATTCTTCTCATTATGAACTTCTTCTTCTTTCTTCAGATGACGAGTTCTTCTCATTATGAACTCTACCTGGCAAAGTTGATCCATCAAATGATGAATTTAAGCAAAAAGGTTGAACAAATTCTTCTCATTATGAACTTCTTCTTCCTTCTTCAGATGAGTTCTTCTCATTATGAACTCTAACTGGAAAAGATGATCCACCAGATGATGGATTTGATTCTTTGTTAAAATCTTTGAAATTCCTGTTAAAATTTCAACAAGAATAAAAATGAATGAAAATGCATCTATTTTTGCAAATGTCTAAATATGATGCATGAATGTTAAGTTGTTTGATTTCAGATTGGTGAATTGAGTATTTCTTCAATTGTAAAAACCCAATAGATCTTTCTTCTTCGAATCAGAGAATCTATCATCTTTGACAAATATAGATGTGGATATAATGTCACAAAACCTCTTGAGAATAAAACTTAATAGTATAGGCTCTTGAAAAGCTTGCATTCAGGCAACATGTTGATTCTGATAACAATTCATCTGATTATGAAGTGACCTTTCAATATGATTTCACAGATATCGATAGTTCTTCTAATACCAAGAAATCTTGAATTCTGATTATGATGAAGAGAATAAACTGTTATATTTGACAAAAATGGGATTCTCAGAGGCTGAAACTTCAATATCCATGTAGAAATGTGGTCCAGATTCATCAATTGTAAAATTGATAAATTTTATATGTGCTGCTCAAATGACTAAGGCTACTGATGCACTTCTTCGGATCAAATAACTCAAAGAACACTTCCAGAAGATGCTATTGGCAAATTCATCTTCTAAATTCAATGCTTGATTCTGTCCAATCAGATAACTCAAAGAACACTTCCAGAAGATGCTATGTTCTGTCCAACCAGATCAGATAACTCAAAGAATACTTCCAGAAGATGCTATTGGCAAATTCATCTTCTAAATTCAATGCTTGATTCTGTCCAATCAGATAACTCAAAGAACACTTCCAGAAGATGCTATGTTCTGTCCAACCAGATCAGATAACTCAAAGAACACTTCCAGAAGATGCTATGTTCTGTCCAACCAGATCAGATAACTCAAAGAACACTTCCAGAAGATGCTATTGGCAAATTCATTTGTTCCAGTTAATGTTTGGAATAGGATATCACCATGCTCATTCGATGTAGAGCCAAAATTTGTAGATTCGAAGCATTTCCATGCTATTACACTGAAAAGGGCTATATTCATAATTCTGCCAATTGAGAACAGATTTCCTCTTATTCTGCTTCCTCCATGTGCTGATGCTTTTCCATTGACAAAGAAGTGATGGCCTTCATGGGATCCAAGAACAAAGTTGAACTGTTTATAAACATGTACATGAAGTGCCAAATTGACAGAAAGGATCTGTAAGGCTCTTGAAGCTTATGACAATGAGTCACCTTCGAGTGTTCAAAAGTATGTTCTTGATGAGTGCTGAAAATGGAATCTAGTATGGGTTGGAAGGAATAAGGTTACTCCACTTGAACCTGATAAGGTGGAAATGCTTTTAGGTTTCCTTAAAAACCATATACAAGGATCTGTATAGAAACATGTCTCCTAGTGATATCAATGTCTTGTTTCTTTTTGCTGGAATCAGTACTGCAAAGATCATTTTCTACTGTTTTAGTATATCTTTGAAAACAGATGTGCAAGAACTGAATGGTGATCGGTTGGAGCAATTGATGAGTAGATTTGGCGGATTCGACCTTGTTGTCGGTAGAATCCCGTGTAATAATCTTGATGTTCATGGCTTTAAGCTAGTGATGATTTGCCTACTTTGTATTCCATGTATTTAAAAGTATTAACATAAAGTGATATTCAGACATCTTTAAATTATTTCAAAATTATGTTAATTCAATAGAAAAGAATAAATTGAATTTCCAAAAATAAATTGGCTCTCAAATAAATTGAACTTGAAATAGATAGAATTGTATTCAAAGTTATGGCAAACATAAGAATGATAAATTCAAATGTCTCAACAAATTATAAGCATAAGTATTTCTAAATTAATCAAGTTGACACAATTTAGAGATGATGTAAGCTTTTGTCTGGAAGATCTCAAACGTTGTTGAAATGTTTGTAGATGTGAAGTTTCTTCCAAACTGTCAAAATCTTAAGAGAATTCAATTGCCGGATGCCTAATATCAACCTGCATTTGAGCCGCCTTTTCAGGTTTTCAACTCAAATTCTTCCTTTGATTACAAGATGCCCTTTGCGGGTTTTCATCTTGACCCCCTTTCTTTTTCTTCTTTTTTTTTTTTCTTCAAGCATAATATTTCTTGACAGAATCCGAGTTTATTGGATTTC